TAGACAGAAGTCTACTGAATTTTTTATTTCTAATTTTCACATTTGTCACCAAATATTTTTGTGCACACAGTTTTTCATTTTGTAGCATGCAAATAGATGGATCCAGTTCCATATCATATTTTGCTAGAGAGAGCTGTATGGGATTAGTGAGCCAGGAAAACGGGGCAATCTTCCTGCCCTTCATTACTGTCTGTGTAATGCATATCTAGCTTAATGGAAAAAGCCAATCTAAAAGCAACAGAAATGCATAACAGAAAAAAAATCATACTAATGATTGGGGTGCTGAGAATTATTAGAACAAAAATATCCTGTCTATCTTAAAAAGGTACTTAAGGAATAGTAGGAATATTAAGCTTAGTTCCACACTACCTGTTCATGAAATATTATATTTTCATGGGTGCTATCACATGCTTGAATCCCCAAGACGGGGTGAGCTCCCGTTGCTCGGTCCCTGCTCCTGCCAACCTAGCAGTTCGAAAGCACAAAGTAGATAAATAGGTACAGCTCCAGCGGGAAGGTAAACGGCGTTTCCGTGCGCTGCTCTGGTTCGCCAGAAGCAGCTTCGTCATGACCCGGAAGCTGTACGCCGGCTCCCTTGGCCAATAAAGCAAGATGAGCGCCGCAACCCCAGAGTCATCTGCAATTGGACCTAATTGTCAGGGGTCCCTTTACCCTTTATCACATGGACAGCTCACTCCACATTGGACTGGCACGGAGGGCAGGGCTCTTTGGGGGTGGGCCTGGGGAAACAACCAGGCTTCCCTCAGGTCTGCTCCCAGGGGATTTAAACAGCCTGCATTGGTCCCTGACACCCAGCTGTTCTTCATCAGATCAACCTCCCCACCCATTCCATTAATCTTGAATTTATCCCTACTGAATTGGCCTCCAGAAATAGGGTATCCTGTCAAAGGGATCCGTGATGTGACAAGCAGGAAGTCTGCTTGCTCCTCACCCAAAGAGGGTCCTTACACATTTAAGTGCTCTGGACAATGATGGGGTTGCTGGACAATGATGGGGTTCCACAGCTAGCCACCAACACCTGGTGACTGGAGAGCAGTCCCAACCCAGTGAACTCCATATCCTTATGTCACAGAGTTTGGTCCCAAGGGATCATGCCATTCAGTCTTCATGGGTCTTCGCCTTAGATTGCTTCTGCCTGGCTCAGTCTGCTCCATCTTCATGTGACCTCCACAAGGACAGATTGTTCCAACCCCAGCAAACTCTGCTACCCTGGTCCATTGCCTCTCCTTTGTTTTCTTTGGGTAAGCCAGGAACAAAGCTTTGTGTTTGCCCTTAAAATAAATGTTCACACCTTTTTGTATCATGAATTCCAAGATTTCATGGGCCACAGGCTTTGACCACTTTCTCTGCATTAACCATTAATCTCTGTTGGACAGGATTAAGTCCAGATCCCCTTGTCCATTTTTTTACCTTTTGAGGTGAAAGCTTGTTTACAGCGTTCGGAAAATAATTAATGAGAAAAAGTTGGTTTTGGCTGTGCACAAACTCCTGTTCACATGGTCGTTCTTTTTCTCATTTCAAACTAATCTGTTTTGCATCAAGATGGGTTATTTCATTTTTAAAAATGAAAGAATAGATGCAAGATAAAAGATAGATAGGATTGTGGCTAATGACATTAGACCAGGCTGCATTTTAAACTGTACACGGCTGAAGCTATTGCCAACACTCTCACATCTGATGAAGTCTCTCTCATCTCCACATGCAGCCATGTGGGTGAGGAAAAACAAAAAGGACAAAAACTTAGGCTGGATGTTGTAACTGTGTCAGCTTGGAGATTCAGTTTCTAGATGGAGATTGTTGGCTGAATAGGTCTCTGCTACGTGCAGTAGGTATCAGGTTGCAATCCTAGAATTCTGGGATAAGAAGCAGTGGCCTTCATTAGCCTTATCAAAACTTTTCCTTCTCCAGGATTTCCTTATTTGCTCCTCCTGAGAAGTTACCTCCACCTGCCCCAAATTTCAGTGTCAGCTGGATCTTCAAGTTCCCCAGGTGCAGGTATTAATGCTGGCTTTGCCCCAGGCCCAGAAGGTAGTTCAATTCCTTTTTGTAGGTCCTCTCCGTATGTAGCCAGAAATTTATCTCTCTCTTCCAATGTTCTAATTTTGACCTTTCTCGCTCTAAAGGTAAAAGATAATCCTTGGGGAAATTCCCACCTGAATGGAATTGCGTTGCTCCTTAATAATTTAGCAAGTTCAGAGTAGGCGGCTCTGAGATCCAACAGTTGTCTTGGAATATCTTTATATATCTCAATTCTTCTATCCAAAACCTCCAGTGACTTTTCGTAATGTAGACCCAAAATCTTATCCCTTTCCTCCTTCGATCTCAATGTAATCAAACAATCCCTGGGCCTCTCCTTCTTTATAAATCTTCCAAGTCTGAAAGCTGACACAATTTTAAAGTCCTTTTCTTCCAAATTCCAGAACTTGGAAAGTTCTTTGGTCAAAAACTCAGTTAGATTTCCTTCTTCTGCCTCTTGTAATGATCTAATCCTCAAATTATTCTCACGATTTCGCAGTTCTATCATAGAAAGATAAGTCTGATGTTCCCCAACTTGTTTAGTGAGTGGTCTTACCTCTTGCTCTAAATTTTCTAATTTTTGTCTGGTATCCTCAGCCAATTTTCGATTTTCTACTGAGGCCTCCGTTAACTGTCCAATTGCTTGTGTATTCTGTCCCACCTGTGTAGTTAATTTGTTTAGACAATCTGTATTTTTATCAATCTTTGCTGATTGCGCATCTACTTTCTTGTCCAAAGCTTCCAATTTTTCAAAGATTTTTTCTAGAACAGAAACAGATGCTCCTGAGGCCATATCTTCCAATTGTAACTGCTCTGCTTCACCCTCTCCCTCTTTTGCCTGTGGCAAAGCAGCTTCTTCCAGTTGTACTTCTGAGGGCAAAGTAGGCACAGATGATCTACGTGTCTGCGAGGCTGAGGTTAGAGTTGTTAGAGTTGTTTGTCTGACTCTTCCTCTTCTTCTTGTACCACTCATTCCAATGTTATCTATCAGTCAAGGTCACACTGAGTTTTTCCCACAGGAATAGAAAGGCCCAGAGCAAGCAAACAACAAGGGAATCGAAAGTAAATGTATTTGTAAAGTCACTGTTTTAGTCCAATCCTCTAGAGGGAGCTTAAGATGTCTTTCAGAGTCTGATTTAATGTCCCAGAACCTTCCAATATAAGTATTAAGCAGAGTTTAAAAGTAATCACTTTGTTGCAGACAGTGCTTATTTGTCTCCAAAAGAATGTTTCAAATTTAAAGGTCTCAATACCCTCAGATTGTTGCAAGTTCTAATATACAGTATCCAAATCAGCACTGACAGCTCACTCTTACAGTGCTCAAGCAGTCCTGACTCTGGGTTTCACCTTCCAATTTGTAATCCAATAAAAGGGGGAAAGTCAAGTGCAAATAAAAAGTCCAAATCTTTAGCTTACTGGTTTTGCTTTAAATTGTAAGTTCCATAGATGCTTGGCTGTGTAGAGTTTAAAATCTCTTTCTTTCAGCCTCCACTCCTCCGCCTTAGTTGCTTTTTTTTCAAGTTCAATGGCTGCGGAAGACGGACTTCCTGTTTCCACGTCTCTCCGCTTTTAGCCAAGTTCAAGCCGAATTAAACCTTCTCATTTAAAATTTGTAATTCCTAGTGATTCAGTCTTTACTCACGAATAAGTTGTTTTTCTTCCAAGTCCGAATTTTGACAGGAAAAGGGATCAGCGCTCACCGGCAGCAGCAGCGCGGCTTCACTCCGCTGACTGTGAAACGGCTCTCAGCACCGCAACCCCCCTCCACGCTCCGGAGCCCCTTACGAGGCTCCTTCTGCAGTTGGAGGGCTGCTCGTGGCGCCCGCCGAGCCTCAGGACCCCAGGCTCTTGCTGCCTGGGGTTTTCCTCGTTGGGTCTCCGCTTCGCCGTAGCGGACGACCCGATTTCAGCGGAGCCTCCTCTCCCGTCGGGAGAAGACCGCCATTGCCGTTCGCGCCGCCCCCCGGAAGAACCCCACCCCGGGAGAAATAACCAGATAGATCCAGGATGTCTCTGCAACTGTTGAGCTGGAACATTAATGGTTGTAATATTCCGGAGAAAAGGAAGAAAATATTTCATATATTAAAAAAAGAACAATTGGACATTATCTGTTTACAAGAAACACATGTGACGAGGCTCCACAGAAAAGTGCTAATAAATAAAAGATTGGGCCAGGAATTTATCTCGTCGGACAAAGTGAAGAAGAGAGGAGTGGTGATATATGCAAAAGAGAGCCTGTCACCTAAATTTCTATTTAAAGATGAACATGGAAGGATTTTGGCTATTGAGATACAATATCAAGGAGAGAAACTGCTGATATTAGGAATCTATGCACCCAATGAAGGGAATCGGAATTTTACAAGAAGTTGCAGGGGACAATGCTGGATCATCTGGATTACAACAACATCATAATGATGGGAGATATGAACGGGGTCGTATCAACTAACATGGACAAGTCGCAAAGTCAAAATGTCACAAAAGATGGCAGACTACCTAAAACCTTTTTTGAAATGACTGACAATATGGACTTGATTGACATTTGGAGAATAAAGAACCCACTAGGTAGAGAAGGAACATTCTTTTCTGAAGCCCAACTGACCTGGACAAGAATCGACCAAATATGGATTTCTAGAGGCCTGGCACCTAGGGTTAGAAAAGTGGAAATCTGCCCAAAGACCTGCTCTGACCACAACGCAGTAAAGATGGATATGACACTACTACCAACTGGATCCTTTAGATGGAAGATGAATGACAATTTGTTTAGAGATCAGGAAATTACCAAGAAGGCCCAAAAAGTTTTGAAAGACTATTTCGAGATAAACATGAATAATTCGGTGGAAAAAAGAATCGTCTGGGACGCAAGTAAAGCTGTTATGAGGGGATTCTTGATACAACAGAATGTAGTAAGGAAAAAAACACAAAATGAGAAAAAAGACAAGATCTTGGATAAAATAAAAGAATTAGAGAAGAAATTAAGAGTGAATCCAAAGTCACAGCCAACTCTGAGAGAAATTAAACTGTATCAAACACAATATTCTAAATTGATAAATCAGGAAATTGAATGGAAGATTAAATTAATGAAACAAAAAACGTTTGAGTCGGCGAATAAATGTGGAAAACTGCTATCTTGGCAGTTGAAGAGAAGACAAAGATTAAATACGGTTACAAATTTAGAGGTCGATGGAAGAAACATTCAGAATCCAGTGGACATTAGAAAGTGTTTCCAGAGATATTTTAAAAACTATATACCCAAGGGCCGCAAGACGAAGTCGAGATTAAACAATTTTTGGCAAAAATGGATTATCTAAACTGTCACAAGAAAATAGGACAATCCTGAACTCTAAAATAACACGACAGGAGATTGAACAAGCTATTCAGAACATGCAACTTGGCAAATCTCCAGGGCCAGACGGGCTGACCTCCAAGTATTATAAGACACTAAAAGACTATTTGATACAACCCTTGATGGAGGTTAGCAATGAAATTATGGAGGGGAAGAGGGCACCGGATTCGTGGAAGGAAGCGTTTATCACATTGATACCAAAGTCAGAAGCTGAAAAGACACAACTGAAGAACTACCGTCCCATCTCCCTTTTAAATGTGGATTACAAAATATTTGCAGATATTTTGGCAAGTAGATTTAAAAAGTTTTAAATGAAGTAATTCATAAGGACCAGGCCGGTTTTCTCCCAGGTAGACATCTGTTTGCTAACACAAGGAACATTATTGATATCTTGGAACTTCTCCAAACTGACATAAATACAAAAGCAGTTTTAATTTTTATAGATGCGGAGAAGGCCTTTGATAATATTTCTTGGAAATTTATGATGGGAAACTTAAAAGAGATGGGAGTGGGACGGGGTTTTGAGAATGGGATTGAGGCGATATATTCAGAACAGAAAGCTAAACTGATAGTGAACAATGTGGTTACAGAAGAGTTCAAAATTGAAAAAGGGACACGACAAGGCTGCCCTATTTCCCCTTTGTTATTTATTTCGGTTCTGGAAGTGCTATTGAACATGATTAGAGGGGACCAGTTGGTGGAAGGAATTCAGGTTGGTCAGAAACAATATAAACTAAAAGCTTTTGCAGATGACCTGGTTTTGACCTTGCAGAAGCCAGAGCCTAGTACGAAAAGAGTATTACAATTGATTAATGATTTTGGTCGGGTGGCGGGATTTAAATTAAATAAACAGAAAACCAAGGTTTTGGGAAAAAACTTGACTGAGACAGAGTCAGAACGGTTTCAGAATGAGACGGAACTTAATGTGGTTAAAAAAGTAAAATACCTAGGGGTAAACATAACAGCAAAAAATCTAAGTCTATTTAAGGATAACTATGAAAAATGTTGGACAGAAATTAAGAGAGACTTAGACAGTTGGTCAAAATTGAAACTTTCTTTGTTAGGCCGAATTGCTGCGATTAAGATGAATGTATTGCCAAGAATGTTGTTTTTATTTCAAACACTTCAGGTTTTGGACAAAATGGAGTGCTTTCAGAAGTGGCAGAGAGACATTTCGAAGTTTGTCTGGCAGGGCAAAAAGCCCAGAATTAAGTTTAAGATACTAACTGATGCAAAACAAAGAGGGGCTTTGCCCTGCCGGACTTAAAGTTGTATTACGAAGCCGCAGCGTTCTGCTGGCTAAAAGATTGGCTACTTCTTGAAGACACTGATGTGTTAGATTTGGAAGGGTTTAACAATGTTTTTGGATGGCATGCATATTTATGGTATGACAAAGTTAAAGCAAATAAGGCCTTTAAGAACCATATTGTTAGAAAATCACTGTTTAATGTCTGGACAAAATATAAAGACTTGCTGGAAAATAAAACACCAAGGTGGCTTTCACCTTTGGAAGCTAAGGCCCGAAAAAGACCCAATATGGAGGCCAAATGGCCAAAATATTGGGAAATACTAGAAAAAGATGGAGACAATTGGAAATTGCAGAGTTTGGAGAAAATGAAAGACAAAGTGCGAGATTGGTTACATTATGCTCAGATTAAAGAAGTTTTTAAAAATGACAAGAAACTAGGGTTCCAGGTGGAGAAATCGAAACTAGAAACAGAATTGTTAGAACCAAAGACTAAGATACTTTCAAGGATGTATAACTTGCTGTTGGAATGGAATACACAAGATGAAATGGTTAAATCGGCTATGATAAGGTGGGCACAGGATATTGGGCATAATATTATGTTTGAGGACTGGGAAAGGCTGTGGAGTAATGGATTGAAATTTACTGCATGTAATGCTTTGAAAGAAAATGTAATGAAAATGATTTATAGATGGTATATGACCCCAGTCAAACTTGCAAAAATTTACCACCTGTCTGATAACAAGTGTTGGAAATGTAAAGAGTGTGAAGGAACGTTCTTTCACCTCTGGTGGACCTGCCCTAAAGTGAAGGCGTTCTGGGAAATGATTTATAATGAATTGAAAAAGGTATTTAAATATACTTTCACTAAGAAACCAGAGGCTTTCCTTTTGGGTATTGTCAGCCAAGGGGTGGCAAAGAAGGACCAAACATTTTTATGTATGCAACAACAGCAGCAAGGATACTACTCGCAAAACATTGGAAAACTCAAGATCTACCCACACTGGAAGAATGGCAGATGCAACTGATAGACTATATGCAACTGGCTGAAATGACTGGCAGAATCCGTGACCTGGGAGAAGAGAGAATCGAGGAGGATTGGAAGAAATTTAAGAACTACCTACAAAAACATTGTGATTTGACTGAATGCTGAATAAGATGCTTGACTAAATAACTGAGCACCACTTAACCTAGAAGTTTTTAAGAAAATAAGAAAAACTGTGAAAGTTTAACTCTTTATGAGAACTATAAGATCATGAAATATCGAAGAGATATAAGAATTTAAATAAGATGATAAATTGCTGACAAAATGTTATAATGATGAAGGTGGGAGCGGGAGATGTGAGGAAGTCCAAAGAAAATGTGAAATTATGTTAAGACGAATGTTATATTGTTTATTACATTTATTCCTATTGTAAAATCCAATAAATTGCTTTAAAAAAAAAA